GAACACTTTATTTCCAGTACTTGAGTTCAAACCCAGGGCCTTTCAAATACTAGGCAAATATTCTGCCTCTGAGCTGCATCCCCAGCCCTAGAGAATACAAATCTTTGAGAGGGGCAAATAAGCAACTGAAGGCTGAGGACCGTATCTAAGGATACTTAAGGTTCCTCAAAGTGAAATCTACTTGGGTCTGACCTGTACCGTCCGGTGCCTGCTCTCCTGGCTCTGTGCAATTGAGACCTTTTTTCTTTTGAACAAAACCAACAGCAACAGTGAAAAGAAGTGTGGTGGAGTCAGGTGGCACTCATCCTAACCCTCCCAGAGTGGACAGGTCAAGGAGGCCCATCCTGGCTATCAGCAGAAACGGCATCATCACTGTGATCCGACCTGACTAGGCTAATCAGCAGTGTTAGTTGTGTGGGAACAGCTGAAGCCTGGAAAATGCAGTATGAGTCACAAACCAGGACAAGGTTGGAATGCTTCTTTCTACCTACACCTTGGTTTGATGAGCATCTGTTGGAGAAGCCTTGAAAGAGCCTTCCTTCTTGGGTTAGCTTGACCTAGCTGCCTGCCACAGGGCAGGGGACAACTGCTCGGACCACGCCTCTGCTGTGTTTCCAGGCTGAGTACCCATGACCATTGGTTGTTTGTCATGCCTGCTGACCTTCCAGTTTGCTTGGGTGGGTGGATGTCTGTGTCCATTCCCTCAAGACAGAGAGGCCCAGAGCCTGCTTACACCAGAGGGCAGCAGAATAAAACATGTAGAATGAAGTGCTCACCCGAGGCCCTGAAGCCTGAAAGCCAGGCTACCTCGAATGTCAAAGATGCCGGGGGTCCTGAGACTGGTGTGTGTTCGTGTACGCCTTCTTCCTACTTCTAAAGGAACCCAGGGGCTGAAGAGATGGTCAGAGCACTTACTCTACAAACACGAGGAGCGGAGTTTGAATTCAAAGCACTGTAACCCTAGCACTGGGGAAGGAGCCACAGGTAGATCTTGTGATTCTTGTTCTGGGAGAGAGCCTGCAGTAGGACAAGGTTGAGAGCAATAGAGGAAGACTTCCAGGGTCCTCCTGCTCCAGCTTCTCCATGAGCACGCCTGTGTGCAACCAGGGCATGCACACGCGCATGCACGCACGCCACCCTTGGGTGCTGATTAGAGGCTCTTAAACTGACAGCAGACATGGGAAGAGGCTTTGTTCCATTATTCCTTTATCGGATGAAAGCCCAGATTTGTCAAAGAAATCCCTTCCCAAGGAGTCAATGCGTTCATATACTAGAAAGGGAGGCTGAGGAACATCACATGTTGTCAAAAGTTATATTCTTCTTAAATATTATCATCCCTGGACATGTCTGCATTTTCCCTCTCCCCACGCCCTTTGTAGAAGGGCAGAGACCTGTGCCTAGCTAGGTTACCTACTGAACCAGCACTCTCTTGAGATTCCGTTCACAAATGCAACATCCTTTCTCCTCACAGGATGCTCTCAGTTCATTCCAAAGAACCCTCAGGGGCCTATGGGAAGCTCTCCTCTGGCCCCTCCAGGGTCAATGTATTCATTCTAGAAGCAATGGAGGTGGCCACTTTAACACAGCCTCTGTGAAGACATGGTTTTCCATTAGGAGGTCTGCGCAGATCTCCATTTTCCAGGGTTTCTGATCTTTCACTATTACTCCAAATGAAGGGTGCCGGGCCCCCCATGGGCTTACCCAGCGGGCAAAGCTTCTGGACTCCTCCCAGAGAACAGAGGCCACAGTTCTGCTGTTGCTAGGGCCTTTATCAGGATAGAGTGTTCTTCCAAGGCCACTGCAGTTCTTAAGATAAAAACTCAATAGGAAAATTAAAAGCATCTATTTTTACTCTGAGGCTCTCAAGCCACTCCTGAAAATCTTGCAGAGAACACAAGCATTCATCCTGACCAAGGTCCTCAGAAGAGCGAGCCTCAAAAATCGCACTCTGGGTGTTTTTTTAAGGGCCCCCCCCACCCGTTTCCTGCCAGATTCCACCCACTCGCTGTGTTCACTCGGTATGCCACGGGCTTTTCTCACTTTCTTGCTCATCTCCAGCTGCTGAAGTTTTCGGCAGGAATCATGCAGACTTTTTTCAAGCAATCCTCTAATGTCTTGCATAACCAACCCTCAGAAATACAGGGAAGCCACGTGTTCCAAGAATGAGGAAGGATTCTTAGAGGAGAAGTAAAGCAGTCACATGTGGCCCCACAGAATGTGTCCTTCCAGGAAGCCGGGCACAGCCACCATCCTGGGGTACCTGTGCTCTTTTGGGATTAACTATACATTTTGGCAGTAGAGTCTTAATTACCCGCAAGCAAGTGGCAGCCTTTCTGAGGCTGAATTCCATCACAGGGTTTACCTACACGAAGGCTGCCTTGCTCTGCGATCATGCTGTGATCTCGGGGTGTCCCATCCTGTTCTCAATGACAGCGCCAGAGACAAAGGCTGCAAGGGCCAGGACACAGGTTCTTCTTACCCTGCTATTCTGACTGGGCTGCGCCATGGAGGATCAGACAAAAGGTGACACCCGAAGCCAGGGACGGGAACACAGACCTCACAGGGCACCAGAGCATCTGTGCAGCCCTGACAACAGACAGTGACAATGTCCACTCAGCCCACAGCTCCTGACAATGCATGGGGAAACAGCATCCTGCTTGGGGGGAGAGAAGTCGAAAAGTAAGTGAGAAGCCAACCGACACACTCTAAAAAGACTTTTTTCAAGTGACACCTTTCATCTCTGATGAAAGAAAGGGCCATTTTCAGGTAACTGACCAGCAGAGAACAGAATGGGATTTGATCCTCAAATTTTCGGCTAATAAGAATTTGTTTGAGGCTGGGAAAACGGCTCTGTTGTTGCCCAAGCATGAGGACCTGAGTTCAGACCCCCAGTATCCATGTAAAAGCTATGTGTGGTGGCGTGCATCTGTATCTCCAGCAGCAAGGGGTGTCAGACACTGGATTACTGGGACTTGCTGGCCACCAGTCTAACTAAAAACCATGGAGCTCCAGATTCAATGAGTGACCCTGTCTCAAGGGAATAAGGCAGAGTATGTCAGAGGACACTTGAGCACACATCTGCATCCATGTGCACATACGTACATATACCACATACACACAAACAATTCCTTTTCTGAAGGATTAGGGATGTAGCTCAGTGTGGCATGGTGCTTGTCTAAGATGCAAGGCCCTGGGTTCAATCCTCATTCAGCACTCAAACAAATAAATGTCTTACTTGGCAAACTGAGGCAAGAGCGCCACAAGTTCAAGATCAGCCTGGGCTATATAGCAAGCTATTACCTCAAAGCAAGAAAAAAATCTGAATGAGGCATTTTGTTGTTGTTGAGACAGACAGGGTATTGCTTGTAGACCTGGTTGTCCTGGAACTCTGATTACCAGGTTGGTCCCAAATTCACAAAGATTAACTTACTTCTGCCTCCTGAGTGCTGGGATTAAAGGCATGTGTTACCATGTCTGGCTGAGGGCAGTTTTTATATGGTCATGAGCAAATGTGCAGACGGCAATCAGGTACTTATGAGAAAGGTAAAAGCGGCAGACTGACAACATGCTTGTCCAGAGTCGCACTGCGGGTGAAGTCTGACCCGACATTGATAGACCGCACATATACCGTAGTCCCTGTTCTAAGGTCCTCAAGTTCATCTTTAGTCTGATGATTTTACTTGTGGCTCAACTAATGCAGCTACAGGTCTTTTCTAAAGAGCAACCTTTAAAATTACATTTATGTGTATGTGTGTTTGGAGTGGGGCTGTGTGCATGCCACTGTGTACATGTGGAGGTCAGGAAACTTTCAGGGGCCAGTTCTCTCCTTCTAGCGTATGGGGCTCAGTGGTCGACTCAGGCCTCCAGGACGGGCAGTCTTGCTGAGCCACAGCCACACACCTCATAAACGGCAAAGCTGGGAAGAACCTTAGAGATAATTGCTGCTTCATTAGTCAGCTCGGAGGCTACGTGACCTAGCCAAGTCACCAGGAATAGTAGGTTTGGCAGGACGGGACTTCACCCAGCGGCAGAGCAGCTGCCTGCCATACCTGAGGCTCTAGGTTCAGCCTCCAGAGACACGGAAAAACAGAAATGATAAACAAAAGCCAGTCTTCGGTCTCTTTGGCACCAGGCTATGAACTGTAGTGGAGGCTATCAAGATGTAGTTTTACAGGATGTTCACCAACAGGCAGTTCTAGATGCCTGGATGCTTCCTCCCACGGGAACCACGTGGTGGGGTGGATGAGGAGACACAGATCAAGAAACTGGGCTCTCCCATGCCTAACAGGATCTTTTTTGTCTCTCTTCCTTTTCTGGATGCCACTTCTAGAGGATGGTCTCTCTATTTCAGAAGGACCTTCTTGGACCATCTTTATCCATTTTTATTTCACTTTAGTGGCTTTACAACCATATCTTAAAGTCACTCAGACCTCTGTGTGGGCCAGAAATAATTCTAGAGGACTTCACACTGCCAACCCTGCAGATCTTTCCATGAGAGTAAACTTGCTACACTCTCAGCACCAAACATGCAGGAAGCAGGCTGGACTGGGAAGCAGGGAAGCCGTCTCCCTGTACACACTTGCTGAGGACCTGGTTGTAGAAAGAGCTTCAGATTGTGTGCCTTTGCTTCATCCCGGTATACAGCCGCAGCTATTGTCATTTAAAGTTCTCTGTGGTGTGTCAGATGGAGCGGCCACTGGACAGTCCCCTCATTCTCCCACCTCTAAGGATGGCACACGACTCAGGCTGTCTGTGCACAGCACCGAAGTCTGAATAGTCTCCAATATCCAGCATCCAAGTCCATATCCCAAATAACACCAAATGATGTCTGAAGCTTCTAGCAATCCACAATTATCCTAGATGAAAGCCTGTTTTGAAGGAGTGGCTGGGAAGGCAGAGGTGCTGCGGTGGAGCCCAGGGCCTCACACACACTAGGCACGTGCACTCTACCAATGGCTACACGCCCTGTCCTTAGAAGTCTCAAGCAGTTACAAAGCAAATAGCTTTCAAGTAAGTGACTTTTATTTTTTCCTCTGACATTTCACAGTCAGTTTCCATATAACTTCACACGTTCTGAAAAGAATTCACATTTGGTAAATAGTCTATACCCTAAGAAGGTCGCAGCTGAAAAGCCACTTCAGTATATGTGCAAGAGTCACTTGTGTGCTGAGGAATCACACCAGAGAAGTCAGACGATGCTATAATCAATAAAACAGTGTAGTAAATTACAAACGACATTAAATTTTATACCTAATTCAATCAGGAACCTTTCTAAATGTGTTCCAATATTGTCAATACAATGCAACAACGGTTCTCCTATGGGCTGGCCTGAGCTAAAACTGTCTTCTCACCTTGGGCAAACAACAGCGCTGCACAGTGCTTCATCAGGACGTACAGCATGCACCACTGGGGCTGTTGCTACTTACAGCTTTGGGCAACCAACGAAGATCTTTCGATCCACTCCAGGCTTCCTCCAAACACTGGTGTAGCCTCTGCCTCAAAGGCTCGCTCCTTCTAAGATCTAGCTTCTCTACTAGCGTCCATCTGCTTCCAGCTCCACCAGGAACAGAACACAGACTAGAGACTTGCAGTTATGGCTCTAAGATCACAGAGGAGCGGTGACCCTCCCTGCACTGAACAGTGAAGATCTATGGTGGCTTTCACCGTCTTTTATGGAGACAGGAAGGGCAATGAAAAGCCATATCTAGGAGGAAGAGTCCAAGAGGCTTAGCTCCACTGAGGGCTTTTCCAGTGGAGTACATTTGGTTCGCAGCAAGTGCTTCCAGCCTTCTGATGCTTGGTAAAACTTGCGGCTGGTGCCCAGACTGTTCTGAATGCACCTGTCTCTACAGCTTTCCTGCCAAACATTCTTCCAAAAAGGAAGCTTCCTAGTGGAGTGGCTAGGATACCATACAGATTGTGGGGAAGCATATCACAAGGAGCTGAGTCTGTCCAGAGACACTGGCTCTGATTTTGGAAACTCTTTCAGAGTGCAAACAGCAGGTAATAATTCTGTGTTGATCAGAGAGTAAAGAGATTTTACCAAGTTGATTATTTTTTAACTAGTCATATCCAAACCATATGTCTATATGAACACAGTAGAGTTAACCCGAGTCTTACAACCAACTCCTTAAAAACTGTGACCCATGGGCTGAAGAGATGGCTCAGAGGTTTAGAGCACCGGCTGGTCCTGAGTTCGATTCCCAGCAACCACATGGTGACTCACAACCATCTGTAATGAGATCTGGTGCCCTCTTCTGATGTGCAGGTATACAGGCAGGAGGAACATCATATACATAATAAATAAATCTTAAAACAAAAATAAACAAATAAACAAAAAAAAAACTGTGACCCTTAACCCTGGACCTAGTATAGCCCCATGAGTATCTTTCTCTGTGCAGAAAACTACACCTGCGAAGGACAAAGATTTTTAAGGGGATAAAAATTTTAAACAAGACGATAGAATCCTTTGACTCTTTATGGTTTGTAAAGAATGTGTCATCTAAACCTCCTCATAGTCCCCACCCCTAAGGCCAGCTTCTGAGAGGAACACCACACTTCAGCCCTGCTGCCACAGCTAACAAGAGACACAGGGATGGGCAGAACTCAGATGTGAATACAGGGAAGGATCCTTTCTGACTTTTGTGCCTTCTTCTAACCTCAGGGCTTTACTTAATTCAGAGTTTAAAAACACAGTTACTTTTCCCCCACAGAAAGAGCTGGGTGAGGCACAGACAAGAGACCCTGAGGTCTCAAGCTTCTGATTGCTAATGCTGATGGAGGCTTGTTTTTTAATTTTATATTCATCTACATATCTAGTGTGTGTGTGTATGTGTGAGGGACAAACTGCAGCGGTTGGTTCTCCCCTTCTACCCTGGAGGTCCAGGGAATCCAATTCAGGTCAGCCGTCTTGGCAGCAAGCTCCTTTGCTCACTGAGCCATCTTGCAGTCCTGTCTCAGGCTTTTTATAAGACAGGTTGTGCTATTTCAAGCATGAACTAACAAAATCTTCCAGCTAGTGACAAAAAATGCTGGCTTCTTTGACCCTTTAATCAAAAAAGCAATTCATCAAATACAATTCCAGATGGTACTAAATCCAATCTATATTTTAAAAATCTGAAGTATATGCCTACTTGTGTGAGATCTGATGTATGATCAATGTGTGAATCAGACGCTCTGCCCTTTCTCCCACAACTTAAAGGGGAAGAAACAAAGCCTCATGTGATTAAATGCTTACACCCAGGCACAACCTGTGCCCAAAGCATTTTAGGTTTCACCCAACTGGCACAATGCCTGATAGAATATAAACACAGCCTCTATTTTTCTCTGTGACTAAGATACTTGCGGGCGGGCCGTGAAGGGATCCTTAGGTCACTGACTCCGTGGTTTGACAGGTGTCATCTATATCACTGGACCTTGAACCATGGACAGTGAGTGGGAAGCTGGGAGACACCCACCGTTACCTCTCCTTTGTCCCAGGATCCAGCTAAGTGCCCACAGGCTAAGGAAAAGGGATTCAGAGACAATTGGAGGTCTTCAGAGAACATAAATGTACTTAACCTGTGCGTGAACCACAGATTAAGACGGCAGCCAGGGACTGGCACGTGGCTTTGTGAGTGAATTTAGAAAGAAAGCTCTTAAATAGGCCGTGGAAAACAAGTGGAGATAGTAAGAGTGTAAAAGAACCAAATAACTGAAAAATGCCTCTGTGCTAAATGTCTGGGTGATCAGACAATGCGTCTAGATCACTGCCTGAATGACTGGATCCAGACGCTAGTGAGGCCTGCAGCTTGGCCCACGCCTGAGGAGCCCTGCTCTTGGTGGCCTCTATAAACATCTGGGTTTGCTCCTTCAGTTGGTCTAGTTCCACCTGAGTTGCTTGGTTCTGACGAATCAACTCCTTGGTTTTCAAAGTAATTTCCAGCAAACCAGACTTGTGGAGGACCACTAAGGTATTCTGGAAGCGCCTGTGCTTGCTCTGCCTCTGCTCTGAAAAGATGTCTGGGCTGCGGCAGAGCTGCTCCGCGGCCCAGAGCGGTGAGCTGTAACTGGCTGAGAGCGGCGAAAGAGGGGAGCTGCTCTCCAGGCCGTGCAGAGTGCTGTCGGAGGCACACACAGGACTGGCGGGTGAAGCGAAGGTCAGACTGGGAGCTTTAGCCACGTGACTACTGGACACAGGCTGAAGAGTCTGTGGACTCCCACCAGCCCCCAGGGAGGGCACTCCTTGCAGCGCTGAGTCCTCGGTGAGTTTGGAGCTGGGTGGGGCTGGAGTGGAAGGACTGGAGAGCACAGGGCCCGTCTTGGCTGGCTCGCTGGAAGACAGGGCCGGGCCCAGTCTCTCCTTACAGATTTTCTTCAGTACCCCACTCGCTCCTCTTTCTTCCGAGCTGAGGGAAAGACTCCTTTTGCCTGGATGAGGGGCTATTTTGGTGTAAGAATTGAGAATGGGCAAGTAGTTTCTGGAATCTGACTTTTTCTCACCAGTATGGCAGGGGCTGACAGGAGATGGCACCGGCGGGTGAAGGACAAAGAGCTGTGGCTGTGCTGAGATCACCTCAAAGGAGGGCTGGACAGTCCAGGACTGGAGCTGGGATGAGCTGCTGCCCTGCAAGCAAGGAAAAGAGCATTGCATTCAGGATGGGGGGTGCAGCTCCAGCTTTCACCCAAGGCTCAGCTACAGATGCTTCGGGTGCTCTGTGTCCCTCATGCACAGGGGAGCCCTTGTTGAGAACAGGGAGGAAGTGGCCTAAAATACACTTATCTGATATCATACTATAAAAAAAGAAAAACCAAAACCAAAAGCAAGCACAAAAATATTTTCCTAGGGGAAAACTTGAAAAAATACCTGGGGGTTTTATTTTTGTTTTCAATTCTGTCTCTGTGTGTACCTGTATATAGGTAGGTGCAGGTGAGTACAGGTGCCATGGTGCCACAGTTCAGCACGGGTGCTGGGACCAAGCTTGGGTCCTCTGGAAGAACAAGTGCTCCTAATTACTGAGCTACCGCTCCAGGCCTGAAATGCCTGCTTTTAATCAAGGGCTATCACTCAGATAGAGAAACTGGAGGTAGATGAAATAATGGCACAGTCAAGGCACAACTGAGGCAACAAAAACAGAGGGAGCTCAATCTCCTGGCCAAAGCTAAGAGATGCTAAGCTCAGGTGGGGCTCGACTCAGTTGCTGGAATGCTTGCCGAGCATGCTTGGAGTCCCTTATTGGACCCCAACACCACATAAGACCTGGCATGGTGGCAGATGCCTATCTTCCCGGCATTCAGGAAGTAGAAGCAGGAGCATCAAGAGCTCAAATTCATCCTCAGCTACACAAGGACTTCAAGATCAACCCAGGCTACTGGAGACCCTGTCTCAAAACACAAAGATACCATCCCCCAAAAAAATCCTGGAAGAGACTAGCTTGTCACTGAGCTTCCTAGCTCCTAGCCACCCTAGCAGCCTGCCAGCTGTCCTGTGTCCCTCTGCTGGAAAAGCCTCCTCACTCCTGCACGTCCTGGAGCAGCCACCCTAGGCTGTAATGTGTGTGGTTTGTCAACACAGCCACAAGGAAGGCAAAAGAGAACCAGAGAGGGAAACAACCCGGAGTAGACACCCAAAGGTACCGGGCAGCACTGGCGGGCTGGGACAAACTGACTTGGGCTCTATTCCCTGTCTCCATGCTCTTTCCTTTCAGTGAGAAGAGCTGAGGTTCCCGCTAAGATGGATCTACCAAGCAAAATGGTCAAATAATCATTCAGAACTCACCAGCTGCCCACCTTGCTGATCTCAACGAGTGTTCTTCAGAGGTGGCCAGGCAGTGTTCAAACACTAAGGGAGTGCCATGCCATGCTATAGCCATGTTCTTATAACCTCCAGCTAAGATGGGAAGGGTCAACACCAAAACCAGATTCTCAATACTCCAATACATAAATGTATCTATTTTCAGAGTAAATTACTGTAAGTTTAAATGTTGTCCAACATAAATCACTTATTCTACCTTAACCAAGTTTTTATGAATGAGTTCTCAGTCGCAGACCCTATAACCTAACTAATATTTTCATCCACTTGTGTTTCACATCTAGATAACAATCATATGATGGACATTGCTCTGGGCTACAGCCCAGTCCACACTACTCACAGGTTTACAATCTCCCAATGGACTCACACCCCACACAAGTGAAAACCCTGTTGGCTCTGCCATCCTCAGCCCACAGAGCTGCCCTGGCACCAAGGTGTGGCTCTAGCTTAGAAACTGCCTCTGCTTCTGAAGCAAAGATGTCCTTCCTGCTGTGTTTCCTTGTTTGAATTGTGTCTTTGGCACAATGTTAATTATGTATCTCAGCTGCCCTCTCTCTCTCTCTCTCTCTCTCTCTCTCTCTCTCTCTCTCTCTCTGTGTGTATACATTCAGTAATACGATGTGTACATGTGAGCTCAGGTGTCTTCAGGTCAGAGGAAGGCATGGTAGAGTATTTGCAGAACACATATACAATTTAAAAAATAAATCTTAAAGACAAAAATTTAAATCAGAAAACAAACAAGAGCAAACAGCATCAGTAGTTGAAAGGTAACACTCTCTCCTGGGAGGAAAGTCCCCATCAGTGTGACTATCTAGTTTTTGAAATCTCTTCCTGCTCAGCGCGAGTGTCTGCACAGGAAGACGCGGAAACTTCCATCGGCAAAGGTCCTCCTCACCTGCTTGACCAGCACATTCTTCATGACCAGCATCGGGGACAGCGCAGGGAAGGCGTTGTCTGCAGCTCTGGAGTTGAGCTGCAGCCTGTCCTCTCTGCTGCAGCCTGAGGTGCTCAGCACGTCCTCTGATTCCATCTGCTCTGCGGAGCTCAAACATTCTGAGCTCCCATCTGGTGGGCAGAAAAATGGTCAGTTCACGTGGGCTCTAGGCTAATGGCTTGTAACCCAGCCATGGACTCCCTAAGAGAAAGGAACGTCTTTGACAGATATCTCTGTGAGTTTTCTGAGGTGGAAATTTCACTGGATGTTCAACAACCATCGCTCTTGCTCTAAAAGTCTAATCGCTCTGCTTGACTTTCTTCAGATCCTTAGAAACTGGCATCAGAGTCGAGGAGATGCCATGTAGCCGCCAAAGAAGAAAGATGCCAGAACTTTACTAGTAAACCATGAGCCTCACGGTAAAATATAAACAGAAATGGGTTAATTTAAGATGCAAGAGCTAGCTGGAAATATGCCTGAACCATCAGCCAAACAATGTTGCAATTAATACAGTTTTTGTGTGATTACTCAGGTCTGGACACCTGGGAAACTAAAGCGCAATCTCCTTTTACAGATCAGAGTACCATCAACAATGAGGATGGAAGCTGGAGCAATGACTCAGCAGTTAAGAACACTTAACAGAGGACCCAGGTTCAACTCTCAGTACCCATATCAGGTGAGTTACAGCCTCCTGTAACTCCAGTTCCAGGGGATCTGATGCCCTCTGCTGGCCCCCAAAGACACCTGCACGTATGCAGTACACAAACTTACGAAGAGACACATACATACAAATAAAGAACCAAATCTTTTTTAAAAAAGAAAGAAAATCAAAAAAAGAGACTAACTTAACAGTTTCCTTGTGTTTGGGGATATGTACGACATCAACAATGTAGTGATCTAATGATTCCAAAAATGGGGATGCTATCAGAAAATCCAGAATGTGGGACATTTTATAAAATTACAGTCCTATCTTGTTCAAAGATGTAAATGTCACAAAAGAAAGAAAAGATGGGAAGCTATTCTGGGTTAAATAATGTTAAAAAGGCAGGCTATCTATATACAATGCACACTTCTCAATGGCAAATAGCTATATGTACATTACTGGGACAATGGGAAAAATCCAGATAGACTGCAGTCAGAGAGAATTCAATCAGGGTTGACTCTTGGGTATAATAATGGCATTATAATTCTATAGAAGAATGTCCTTGTTTCTGAGATTCATACTAAAAATTTAGAGATGAAATACTCATTATTTGAAATTTACTTTTCAAACAGTTAAGTCAATGTATGCAGGGGAGGATATGAATAAAGCAAAAATGAAAATTCTTAGTGGATCTGAAAGAAAGTATCTTTGTTGTGGGGGACTCATTCACTTCCCTTTAGGTTTGAAATTTCTCAAAATAAATTTGGAAAAATAACTAAAATAGAAAATACCATCCATTTTGGTTCTGTAAATTTTACTGAAGTGCTTCTCGGCCAGGCTTCTGGCAATGACCAAGTGAGAATTCCATCATATCCAAGGCAACTGGAATAATTCAGGCAGCAACCATGTTCCTGGAACCTGCCCAAGAGTGACCAGCATTCACTGGCACTGCCTTCTCAAACAGGAATGAGGATGGCTACTTTTAACACCACTCTGTGTCAGAACTGTACTAATTAAAACAACTGCCCTGCCCTGACAAAGCTGGAGACTTTAGAAGACGGAGCAAAATGCCAATGGTCCTGGGAATTATAAACAGAAGGACTGTGGGTGAAGTTTGTTTCCTTCTTTGACTCCCTGAGGGACTAGACTTTTACTATGAGCATGGATTACTTTTATGATCTAGAATCAGATCAAAACGCAAATGTGATATTGAAGGAGAAAAAAGCCCTTCAGTGTTTTCCAGACCTTCGACCTTGTTTTATAGGCCCCACTTTCCAGGCCCTTCCCCAGCCTCAGTACCAGAATCTCTAGGAGGGTCTAGGAAGCTAACTCTTTAATAGATGCTTCAAGTGGGCTTCATGGTACAACAAACCTGGTAATTAACTCCATTCAGAGAAGGGAACCCAAAGTACTGCAGGCTGGCTCACCCTTCCCTGGACTGTCCCTGGGCAGGACACTAATTCCTCTGTTGTTCTAATCCCCCGGGTCAGTGCGGTCCCTCTCTGAGTAATATTCTATTTATAATTGAGCTTCTCATTCAGCACGCCTACTAGACGGAAACATACCAATCTAAGAGGTGGAGAGTCCTAGATTTCCTGACAGCAGTGTTTCCCAGTGTAAGTCAGTTTTACATGAGTGGATTGTCTCTGCAACCTGTGTAACACGTATAAACCTTTCTTTAGAAAAAGCTCCATTCCCAGGATAATAAGCCCAAATCCCCTGGCATCATCCTGAGGATCTCCTGGGGGTAATAATGTTGACATTAACTCAATATCTAGAGTAGTACTACCCTCAGCCCTAGGAAGAAGAACCTCAGCAGGAAATTACGAGGCTGAGGTGGGGGTGCAGTCAGCCCTTCTGAGGACGGCTAGCCATGAAAGCTGCCCTACTATCATTTTTCTTTTTTATATTTTTATAATTTATTTAGTTTTATTCTATGTGCATTGGTGTGTTGCCTGCATGTATGTCTATGTGAGGATGTTGGGTCCCCTAATACTGGAGTTACAGACAGTTGTGAGCCTCCATGAAGGGGCTGAGAATTAAACCCTGGTCCTCTGGAAGGACAGTCAACACTCTTAACCACTGAACCATCTCTCCAGCCCTTTTTTCTTTTTTTTTAAAGATTTTTTTTTTTTGCGCCCATGTGTGGTGGTGTACGCCTTTAACCCTGGCATTTGGGAAGCAGAGGCAGGAAGATCACTGTGAGTTTGAGGCCAGTCTGGTCTACATAGTAAGTTCCAGGACAGGCAGGACTACATAGACAGACCCTGTCTCAAATAATTGTAATGATGATAATGATAATAAAAGATTTGGTTGGGGGGAGTGTTTGGTTTTTATTTTTTGAGAAAGGGCCTCATCATATAGCCCTGACTACCTTGGAACTCACAGAGATCCACCAGCCTCTGCCTCCCAAGTCCTAGTATTAAAGACGTATTCCACCATCCTCCCTCAAAGATTTGTTTATCTCCCTTTATGTATATGAGTATGTCTGTATAAACATTCACCATGTACATGCAAGTGCCCTCAGAGACCACAGGAGGGCATCAGACCTCCTGGAACTATTGTTACAAATGGCTGTGCACCACCTGATGTGCGTGTGGACACTGAACTTGGGTTCTCTGCAGAAGCAGCAGTGCTCCTAATTTCTAAGCCATCTATCCAGCCTCCTGTTCTACTTTCTTAACTCTAATGGAGTTTACAGTTGGGCTAGATGGATCACAGTCCAAACACAAAGTATACAGTTATTAGGAAAAACTGTTAGGAGGGGTCTTTTTTAAGTATAGCAAAATTACTTTCTAGGCAACTGTTAACAAATCATAATTTGCCTACCACATAAAGATGGTTCAGCCAATGACAGACCACATAAGAGATGATGACTATACCATATAGCCTAATTATGTAACAGGTTGTATCATCTAGGTCTATAAAAGTAGACTCTAATGTTCACACAAAGATAAACATCCCATAAGGACCAGCTTCTCATTACATAATGCATGATCGCTCACTTGTAACTGACCTTCATACTGTTACAAGGCAAAAAGATATGAAAAAGGAGTTAACGCAACAGAATTCTGACCATTTTTAAAAACACTTGTCTTTGAGACAGACTCTCATGTAATTCAGATTGACCTTGAACTCATAAGTAGTTAAGGATGACCCTGAACTTCTGATCTTCCTGTTTCTCCTTTCCAGTGCTGGGATTATAGGCGTGTGCCAGTTCGCCCAGTTTTATGAAGTGCTGGGGATCCTACCCAGGACTTCCTGCATACTAGGCAAGCACTCCACAATTGAACTATATTTCCAGTCAGTGTTTAAATAATTTTTCTAGTAACTACAGTTTGAAATGTAGGATTGAAAGTTAAAAGTCAGGGGCTGGAGAGATGGTTCAGTGGTTAACAACTCTGACTGTTCTTCCAAAGGACCCGGGTTCAATTTCCAGCAACCACATGGCAGCTTACAACTGTCTGAAAATCCAGTTCCAGGGGATCTGACACCTTCACACCAAAGCACATAAAATAAAGTTAAATAAATCATAAAAAATTATTCTTTAAAAGGGAAAAAGAAAGTTTAAAGTCTAAATTGAAAAGAACAGCAAATTACTTTTTCAGAACTAACTCCATGGAGCCTTGATGGATATATGCCACAAGATACCAGAATTACCACCACCACCCCTTGTTTTCTGAATTGCTGTTTTTAACAGCTCAGAGAGTTATTTATCCTGCATGTGAAAGCTTCTTATTTTTCTTACACTAATGAGTTTCAGGGAGAAATGTTTCCATGCAAATCATTCAGTAAAAGGCAGAAGAGTAAGATATTGCTGACCTGAAAAGCCAGAGTCCTTGTCTGAGTCAGCAGCCACCACGCCGAGCGCTCGAGCTACTCTTTTCCCCTCTGGGCCTCGACCTGGCTTGGCAGGGAGCCTTCGAGGGCTCTCTCTGGATGGCATTTTCCTCTCCATGGTCGGTGTGCTGGAAGCTGGACCACAGGTGATCTTCGCATATGGACTGCTCTATGAAAACAACAATTACATAAGAAGTCATTACTGGAGCGTGAACCAGGTGAGCCAAATGGTGAAGAAAGGAAGGGCAAAGATGCTAGCCTCATCCACTGTAGGAACACCTTCTCTGGTCTAAGTTTACTAAACAGAAAGGTTTCCACCCAAACAGAGGTTCACCATCCCCTTGCTGCCCTCTGCTTCCATTGTGAATTCAAGGCACACAAACCACATTCAGTGGAAGCTTTGTGAACTGCTAACAAAGGGACATTTGATTAGCCTTTTTGGAATGGGTAACCAAATAAACTTGCCCTCCTCCCTGAGGAGAGGAGAGGTAACAGCAACCAGCAAGGGTGCTTTCCCAGTAGACCTCTGCATGATCGTCACCTAAAGCCATACTCACAGTTCTCAGAATGAAGTCCTGAGCAGAGTACCAATGTCAGACATGCATGCATACTTACACATACTACTTCAAAAGATTTTTTATACTTATTGTATTTATTTTTGTGTATGTGTATACATTTGAGTGAGCACACATATGCCATGATGCATGTGTGGAGGTCAAAGGACAACTTGCAGGAGTTAGGCCTATCCTTTCATCTCATGGGTCCTGGAGATCAAACTCAGGTTGCCAGGTGGTGAGCACCTTTACCTGCTGAACTATCTCACTGGACCTATATACTACTTTTTAACATAAAACAATACCAAAAAAACCCACAAGGGGACTGGAGAGATAGCTCAGTGGTTAAAAGCACTGGCTGCTCTTCCAAAGGACCAGGTTCAATTCCCAGCACGTGGCAGCTCACAACTGTCTATAACTCCAGTTCCTGAAGATCTGATACCTTCACACCAATGCACATAGAATAAAAGTTAAATAAATTATTTTTAGAAAACCCACAAAACTTTTACAGCCCTGAAAGTATTGCTCAGTAGTAGAATGCTTACTTAGAATACTAAAGGCCTAAGTTTGATCACAACAAAAAAGCAAAAACATTTATGTATAAACATCATATTTAAGAAGTGTTTATGGAGGGTGGGCTGAAAAGATGGCTCAGCAGTTAGGAGCAGGTTTGATTCCCAGCACCCACATGGTGGCTCCCAACTACTCTAGTCCCAGGGGATCCAATGCCCTGTGGGCACTAGGCACACAAGTGGTACACTGACATACATGCAAACAAAACATTTAATATACATAAAATAAAATTTTAAAAAGGTAAGCGCTTATATTGCATAAGGGTATGTAACATGTATTGTTCCTAATACTGTTCTTGAGTTTCACCGTAAGCTTGAGTTTACCTGCTCAGCTGTAATCCCATTTTTCAATGAAGCTCAGATACATCACATTCAGTCACATGTACACATAGAAAACATGTATCAAGTGCTCCTATCAACTGGGCATTGTGCTAGACTGAGGACACAGAGTGACTAGGACAATTGTGTTTATATCTTTCCTGCAGCCTGTGATCTAGAGAGAGAGGAACAGATACTAAACAAGTATTCACACAATTGACGGTTACATTGACAGGAGCTACGAAGAAGTGAGGCTAAAGGTCAGGAGCACCAGGACCAGGACCAGGACAGTGCCCTGCGGCTGGAATCTGGAGCACGAGGAGTCAGCAGGCATTAGGGGTCAAAGGCTAGAGGTGAGCCAAGCAGTGTGTTCCAGGTCAATGTGAAGGCTGAAGGGAGAAAGAACTTGGCATACTCAGAAGTGAATGACCAGGACGGCAGCGCACAGTGCAGGAGCAGGATGACCTAAACTGACAGTGGGGTGGGGGAAGAGCAGGGAGAGCAGACACACAGGACAGACAGGCCTTGAAGTCGCACATGCTGGAAAGACTGTGGATATTAACTAGGAGACAGTGGGAATGGTGGCACACTCCCAGAACTCACCAGGTGGACCTCTGTGAGTCTGAGACCAACCTGGTCTATATAGTGAGTTTAGGCCAGCCAGATCCTGTCTTAAAACAACAAAAACAAGGGACACTTTGGGGATAAGAAAACAGGATGCCACAAAGGAAAAGAGTAATAATGAAACTAGGCAGATGTAAGCAAAGTCTGGGGATGCTTTAATTTGCAATCTACTTAGGACTCCAAGCACCTCAGCCAAGCAGCACTGTGCCTGGAATATCCTGAAGCCATACCTGAACATTTCTGCTAGTTCAGGACCTAGTGAACTAGAGGGAAGACTCAGAATGAGAAGAAACAGGAGACACATGCTTCCATGCTACCATGAGTAACCTCTTGCTCATATACAAACAGACCAGAGGTTTTCAACATGTGAGTCGCGACCCCTGTGGGGGTCAAACAACCCTTTCACAGGTCCACATATCAGATATACTTCATGTCAGATACTTATATTACAATTCATAACCGTAGCAAAATTACAGTTATGAAGTAACAACAAAAACAATTAATTAAAGCATTAATGTTGGTCACAGCATTAGGAAAGTTGGGACCATGTTATAGACAATTGCAGTGAACTAAAGGCACAAACTGATCAGAGTGGAAGGAAATGCTAACCGCGATTCCAAGTAAAAGTCATTCTGCCCCACGCCGAACTCATGTAAGGTTTGTCACTCTCATCCGGCTCAGTCACACACAATGACAAGCAATGAGACTGTCACATTTAACAAAGCACTGCCCAAAGGCACTGTTTCTCTGTGTGACAGCGACAATGTTTGATAGCCCGGACAACCCTGTTTAAAACGTAGACTAAAATGTAAAACTGTATCCCTAATTAAAGCAGGAGCCTATGAAAACCCAAGAAATGCATCTAGTATAATTTTCCTAAACTAATGTTGTTCAAAAGTGAACAGAGCCTTCTTGAAAATGAAACTAGATGTGGCTTCCGGATAGCATGCAGACTGAGGTCTGCCCGAGCTGATGTCCCAGAGAGGAAGGGCAGGTCACGTCAGGTGCAGCTAATTAGGAATCTGAGAAAGCGTCACACTATCTTACTAAACACAGGATATTTTACAGGCATGTTAGAGAAAGCATCCCAATTTAGTCTTCTATGACCCTCGTGACAAGACAATGAGAAAGTTAATAAAATGTTAGTACTGTTTAAAAAATGCAGTCAGTGGAACTACAGAAAAGCACACAGGAAGTTACTCTGGTTCACAGAGAATTTACAGGGTGATGTTGACTGCAGAACCAAAATATAGAAACTTTGACAAATCTGTTAAATTCTAAAATTTTAGATTCTAGGGAACTGGTGGCAATTGGGAATAAAAACAACAAAACCCCACACAATTGACTTTAGAATGGCAAAATATCTATTCTGGATGCAAAAAAAAAAGATTAAAAATATGAAAGCCTGTCTTCTTGATTAAGTTCTGTTTAAGCAGGAAGAAAGCCTTAGTGTTACAGCAGAGGTGGCCCATGTGGGAAGGAGTACCAGAGTTACACCCACCTCCCTTCTTTGGGAGGGAGTGGGCTCACACACACAACAGAAGAAACCCTGGGCAGAAAAACAGAGCGGTGGTATTTCCCACCAGTACCCCTTAAGCCCAGGACCACACAAACGGCAAAAGCTAAAACCTCAAGAAATCAAAAGGGTTTTATTTTTCCCTCCTCAGTATTATTTTACAATAAAGTTATTTACAAGATTTGAAAACGGGTTATGCGGTCTTTACCCGCCACTTCATCTCTCTGCTTCCTGACAAAGATGGGAAGCCACTACCGCTTTCTATGCATGAGGACTAACTGATGCTCCCACACAGACAGAGTGACCCTAATTGGGCCTCATTTGAATATACTTGTTACACATTATCCAAAAGGTTGTCAGCTGGGACAAGATACAGCAAAACTCAAAACAGGAGCTCAGTCAGCACATAGACTCATATCAACTGGTACAGAACAACATTCTCAGAAGTACTCCACAGCACCTGGGGCTTACTTCCATTTTTCAGTCCTGACATTAGCGTCACTATTTGTCGCTAGAACCTCAGAGTTGTTGGTTCTGTTTTTATTTTGTTTTCATCTTTGCAACAGACTTGTGAGGTATTCAAGAGAATAATAAATTCTAACAAACATCAGTCTGGAAGTCCCGGAAAGTCAAAGCAGTTTAGCTGTCGCCAAACACCAGAGTTCAGGTATTGACAATAAAGACTGCATTTCCAAACACCAGGATCACCTCAAGATCAAATTTTCAGGTCTAGCCCAATATACCCCCTACTTTAAGATGAAGCCATTGGGACACGTACACCAACCGAATTAAAAACTGGTGTGACCCCCTGTCTCTGGGGAGTCTGGAGTTCGGGATGCAAAGGCGACCAGCGGGCTCCGGGAAAACATCTGAAATGCAGCTCTTAGCCCTCCCCTTTTACAGCTACTTGGCAACATTCCTGAGAGCGAGCTCACGCTCCCTTTAAATGTGTCACATGTATGGCATGCTGTGTCACGTGTAAGACATGCGTGCATGGAGAGGTGTGAGGTGAAGGCCCAAGCAAAGGCTTATATAGAATAAAGTGGTAAGGTCATAAAACCACAGCTTTTGCAAATGGGTTGGTAGGTTTTCTCTGAAGTCCTTTTCTTTTGATCTGCGTTCTCAGAATTACCATTCCAGAATGTGCATTTTAGTGGCGGAAAAACTGCACCACACCTGCCTACGTGTCTGTTATTCATATTCTCCTTCTTTCTCCTCTCCATTCCCAAAACTGGCTGAAAACGCCTTGTCAAAGATCCGGCCCTGCACCACACGGTCACACGGCTTCCCACGCCTCTCTCCATCCTCCTTCAAAGGGGGCCGTGTGATTCGAGAACGTTCTCAGACCACTTTAAAAGGGGGCTCCCAGGAACAGTGCCCACCTACCCACTCGCACCAGCCCACATGACATCTGTGCCAGGCAGCATGCACACCCTCCAGGCATCAACTAGCCTGCCAACTCAACAGGGCAGAATTGGGCAGACCACAGGGCTATGCCGTGACTGGCATACCACCAGTCTCCAGGGCAAATGCCCAGGCAATGCCTATTGCCAGGACTTGGGCAATAAACAGAGAGCTTGGCTCTGGCCTGGGTCCTGGGTCCAGATCAAAACTGCCCGACCCACCCACTAACCATTGACTTCTTACTTGGCACTATCCAGCCACCTTCTTCCTCACAACCCTCTCTCTTTGGCACCACGCCTGGCTAGTTGGCCTAAAGTAGGGGACCGAAGGCCTCCGGAATAGACAGTGCACCTGTGTCCGGGCATAGCTCCTAAATGAAGATCCTAGACACTCACATAGACTGACTCACTCGGTAAGAAGCCCTCATGCCCACCAACCGGCCCATTCCCAGACCCCTCTGCTTACAGCCGGGCAAGCCTTCAGGATCTCCTCCCGCAGGAGCCCGGGTATGCAGGGCCAGGCCAGGGCTCACATGCCCTAAGGGGCTCACACCACTTGCCCCTCACATGATGCCCCTCCCTACAAACACACCGTTTCGGCCTCACCCCAGATTCCCTTTCCCACGCGGGCCCGACCCTGACAGCACACCAACTAGCAGCAAGCCAGGGATGGCGAGTCCTTCAGCTCCCAATATTTGGCGTCCCCGTTCTCCCAAAGTCCTGGTTCTCCTTTGTGTCCACTCCGCTCTCCTTCCTCTTCCACCTGTTCCCACCCGCGCTCTCAGTGCTTCCAGTCCCAGCCTCCCAGTGTCGCCATCCCAGTTCCCCCCCAACACAACAACCACCGCTGTGCCCGGAGTCGAGCGAGCCCTGCCTGTCTCACCTACGGCCAGGGTCGCCGCTCCACCAACAGCCCGGCAGGTCAGCCGGCGCATGCGCGAGCCGGGCCTCAAGACTCCATGACAACCCGATATTCGCCGGGTCTCTAGCTATCCCCCAGGCCTCCCGCCCATTTCTCCTCCCCCTCGCCTCCGCGACGGCTTTCGCCGGCTCACGTGACCCGACTCCGCGGAACTAGCACCACGGAGACTGCGCGCTGTGCTCCTAGACGGGCACTAGAAGTCCCGCCCTCCCCCCCCTTCCCCGCTCTACGCCGGAAGACCTGCGGCGCTCTGTCCGCCGCGGAGGTCCTCTCTATGGTCGGCGCCTACGGCTTCGCCGCCATTTTATCGCGTCCCTCCAGTTATTGTGTTGAGAGCTGGCACTTAGGACTTGGTTGAGGTTATGGTATTGAGGGCGGGGGTGGTGGCTTCTAGCCACACAGCAGGAGTCGGGATTCGTCTGGGGACTCTGAGGGGAAGCTACTCTCGGGGTGTGTCCCCCCTGGGGACCGGAACCGGACGCGCCGGGCCTGGGGTGGCTGCAGCGCCCAGCGTGGGAGGAGTCCCGCGGGCTGGCAGCCCGGCGCCGTGGCCCTGCGGCTCGCTCACGTTTTTGCCACGCCTGTCGCCTGATTTGCTTTCCCGTCCATCCTCCAGACCGTGCACGAGGGCTAGACGCAAAATTAGTGGGATGATTTTATCCCATTTGATGTTTGGCTCGCTTTGCCTGGTGCTGTGGGAGATGTCGGGTGTTATAAACGATGTCCCGTCCCTGGCACTGGAAAGTTGCCCCTCCAATATCATGAAGGGAAAGGGTAGCACAAAAATGAGCATAATCCCTAAGAGGAGTGCTTCACAGCGTAAAAGGAGGACCGTTCGAACTTGGTTCTGGAACTATCCTTGTCTGTCCAACCCGGGACTCCAGGAAGTGCTGTTAAACATAAAGTAAAATGAGGGTATTACGGTTTTGGCCGCATTAGCGGTGTCAAGAACTCAGGGACCACATGCAGCTAATGGCTGCTTTATTGGACAGCGAAGATTATCACATGTTCTTGGCACTGCAGATAGTTAAATTGGACCTTGCAGATCTAGACGGAGAGTGGTCCTGCAGTGGTAATCCAAGCAGCTTAAAGGTCATAGTTAATCACATTATTCGTCCAGACACAGGTGATGCTAATATATTAGCATGAATGTACTTATTAGCATAAGCCCTCCCAACAAGTAATAGTTGAATGCCTGCACCGTGTAAAGCTGTTGTTCGGGAAATGGAAGAAATGAAAACAATGGTTAACCATTATCACATCATTAAGAGCCTGAAGGTTTACATGCATTTTTCTCTGGACGCCTCAAAAATCGCGTGGCGTCGGTGCTGTTATTCTTTGGTTATAAACTAGGGAACGGAGGGTTGTGCCCCTGACACAGCTGCAAGGCCTGAGCTTAACAGGGAAGACACACTGCCCTTAACTAAAAACTTCAAACACCTTAAAGATTAAACACTTGAAATAAAATGGTCTAATAACCAACATGAGAAAATGTAAGTGTCGAAAAAGTGAACAAATCAATAAAAGCAAAGGAGAAAAAAATTATTCAGCTTGAGTCATTGTTGAAGGGGAAGACACTGGGTAAAACTGTAAGTAAAGATAAAAGCCATTTTACAGTAACGGAAGTGGGATAATGCACACAGGCGGGAAAGAACAAATGAAATATGCAGAACCGTAGGGAATGGCTTTGTCTTGGACCTCAAAAAGGAAAAATAAGTCAGATTTCTCTTGCATATTAGCAGACAGCTACTTGAATTTCAAAATAAAAATCAGTGGTATGTATGGATAAACGTAATTTTATACGCATTTTACTCTATGAGTTTATATGAAGAAATTCATTAAAAAAAAAGATAGGATATTGTTGGGTACCAAATCATTTTTTTTTTCTTCCTTTATTGATTTCCCGGGGTTGTAAATTGGCCCCTGTATGGATAGTTTTTGTGGCCTGGGGCCTTTAATCATTGTTCTAAGATTCTTGGTTGGGCTAAGGTCCCTGTTAATGAATAGATTTTGAAGCATGATTCTTTTGACTTTCAGGTCTTAGCAGTTTGAATCCTCCCCAGTGCTGCTGGAGACTTATTTTACCAACACCATCTCCAGCAGGGGGAGACATGATACCTTAAATGCTGCTCTAGAATTTGAGATTAGATTTCCCCCTGCAAGCAGTGCTGGGTCAGAAATTTCAACTCTGTCCAGTCTACTTCTATAAATTATCACCTATCCATATGAAGATTTGACTTTTTAGTCCCATGTAAGGTGTGTATTGTGTATGTAGACATGCATGTATGTGCATGTGTATGAGATTTTATATTAATATTATATGCACACAACTTTTCAACTCTTAATTTTTCTTTATTTGTAGGTTATGTCTCACTATGTAGCTGTGTCTGGCCTGGCCCTGTACTCACTTTGTAACCCACGCTGACCCCACTTTAAGCTCACAGTAGTTCTCCTGCCTCAGCCTCCTGAACACTGGAACTACAGATGTGAGCTACTATGCCTGGAATACTTTCAAATATTTATAAATAATAATCATTTTGTCCAGGCTTGGTGGTACATTCCTATAATCCTAGCTACTTGAGAGGCCGAGGCAGAAGGATGACTTGAGCCCAAGAGGTCAAAGCTACTCTAGAGACAGGGGCTGGGGAAAGAGCCCAGTGTTTAATAAATAAACAAATAGATAAATAATTGATACATAGATTTGAATTTAAAATTAGTTATTTTAAAAATCATTTACAAGACACTAGTAATGTGAACCAAGGAAACCATCCAAAATACCTAGTTTCAAATCCCAGCTTCTTTCAGTATCAATTTATAAAAGAAAGGGCACCTTGAGATCCCATATACGAAAGATATAGGTATAATCACAATGTAAAAATTGGATAATTTCAAGATGGGCATGGTGTTGCACACCTTTAATCCCAGCACTCAGGAGGCTGAGTTAGAGGCCAGCCTGCTCTACAATACAAGTTCCAGGACAGCCAGGGCTGCACAGAGAAACCCTGTCTCAGAAATCAGAGTCATCCAAAACCAGAGTCACGTTCTCATTTCTCCAGCTTTACCAAGGACCAGAAAAAAACACAAGGACTAGATCGGTTCCTGGACCAGCATTTGGGAGCCAGTGATGGTGTGGGAGAATTATCTGCATTCTGTCAATCATGTATTTTAGTAAAACGCTGATTGGCCAGGCAGGAAGTATAGGTGGGTCAACCAGATAGGAAGTAGAGGTGGGGTGATGAGAACAGGAATATTCTAGGAAGCAGGAAGCTCCCTCCGCCATTCCTGCCCAGACCACTGAAGAGGCAACATGTGAGCTGACAGCTAAAAAAGGTACCAAGCCATATGGCTAACACAGACAAGAATTATGGGTTACTGTGAGATGTAAGAATTAGTCAATAAGAAGGCTGAGCTAATGGGCCAATCAGTTTATAACCTAATGTAGACTTTGTGTGATTTTCCTTGGGGTATGCCGGTTGTGGGGTACTGGGTGGGACAGAAACCCCAACAAGCAGGCCCCCTCATGTTACACAGTGATTTCATTTTTCTGATTTCCCTTGGCCATCTGTAACATCCTCTCGTCTTAATCAGTACCTGGCATTATTAATGCTGGCCAACTAGTAGAATGAGGATCTGCTAGTGCGGTAAACACACGTATGCCCTGGAGGATCTGCTGGTGTGGTAGACACATGCGTGCACTGGAGGATCTGCTGGTGTGGTAGACACATGCGTGCACTGGAGGATCTGTTGGTGTGGTAGACACATGTGTGCACTGGAGGATCTGCTGGTGTGGTAGACATGTGTGTGCACTGGAGGATCTGCTGGTGTGGTAGACATGTGTGTGCACTGGAGGATCTGCTGGTGTGGTAGACACATGTGTGTGCACTGGAGGATCTGCTGGTGTGGTAGACACATGTGTGCACTGGAGGGCCAGAGTCTTGCTGAGGGGAGAGGCAGCTCTCCAGCACGGACAGTCTCACATGGGCACAGATATGGACAGGTCAGAAGTAGAAGGATGCACGGCCTCTTTCCCTTCAGCAACCACGTTACTTCTCGACTGGTCTTCATGGTGGCAATCTGGAAGAGCAGGATCATGAGGAGGACAATGTCCAGATACAGTCAGGAGGCTAACATTCAGGCACAGTTTTGAGTCCAGGGCCAGGAAATTCCTCCCAAGCAGCTAGCTTGCTTTCTCTCTCCTTGCTGGTACTCTAAACTCCTCTCACATTCAAATACTCAGTCTCTGATACATAGACCATTCAAGGCCAACCTGAGCTTCCTGAGACCCTGCAGGGAGACGAAGGGAATGAGAAGGAGAGAAGGGTCACTCTTCCACACTTGTGATTCTAGAAAAGAATCACCAAAGCCCCACTATTCTTGTCTCTCTGAATCATTTGTGGGGTTTTTTTCCATTCTGATCATTTGCTTAAGAATGCTCTTGAGGAGCTAGAGAGATGGCTCAGAGGTTAAAAGTACTGGCTGCTCTTCCAGAGGACCCTGGTTTGATTCCCAGCACCCATATGTCAGCTCACAAACAGCTGTAACTCCAATCCCAGATGGTCTGATGCCATCTTCTGGTCTCTGCAGACACTGCACGTCCGTGGTGCTCAGACATAAACACAGGTAAAACACTCACACACATAAACATTAGCTGTTTTTTGTTTTTATTTTTTTTAAAAAAAATGCCTCCTTAAATTTGATTTAGCTCAAGGCTGATGGTATTTAGAGTCTATAAAGAATATCAGAAGAGCGGACATGTGTAGTGTCTGTGTGACAGACCAAAACATTCATAAGAACTGTACCACACACTCCAGGAGGAGGTAGACTGGTTTGGATCTGTGAAGGTGTCACTCCAAGGGTTGGTCAGTTGGGTCTGTTTAAGACTCACTGAACCTGCTCCATCACTACCCTATATCTTAAAAGATTAGCAGACTGAAGGGCTGGGTGGATAGCTCAGTCAAAAAAGAACGTGACATGAAAGTATGATGCTCCAGCATCCAAATTAGAAGCCAGGCATGAGTGTGTCCTGCAATCTCAGCAAGGGTGATGTCTTCGTTACTGTCCTATTGCTGTGAAGGCACTGTCACCAAGGGTACGTATAGAAAA